GAAAATGGATCCGAACTGCGTTTTCTTGCCTTTGTACTGATCGTGTTTTAGTGTTCTCTGGTCTACAACACTGGTGGTGAGACTAGGCCATATAGAAGGCTGCTGTCTCTGGTGTGGGCCAATCAGTTTCAAATACAATGCCTATATAATTATCACAGCATGTTTTGTTTGCATTCATCACAATCACTGTGTGTGGTTACTGCAGACATTATTCTTTGCTAAAGTTTCTGTTTAGTGTTTCAACATCTTAACACAACTCCTGCTTTATTGCCAGAAAGGGTAACACTTATTCTCATACAGTGATCCCTCGTTTATCGCGGTTAATGGGGACCGGAACCCCCCGCGATAAGTGAAAATCCGCGAAGTAGGATTGGCCCCCCTAGGAATTTCCGTATATGTGTGTGTGGGTACCAGAATGTTTAAAATATGTATATTTATACATTATATATATTTTACTTAAATATATCTATATATATAAAATCGTGAATCTGTCTGTCTGTCTGTGTGTCTGTGTGTCTCCAGACCATACGCACTTTCATTGGACGCCGGTTGCCCCTGCCAACGGCTAGCGACGCCTTCGCCGCTTTCATTGGACCTGGCAACGGCTAGCGACGCCTTCGCCAAGGGCTGCACTTTCATTGGACGGCGGTTGCCCCTGCCAACGGCTAGCCACGCCTTCGCCACTTTCATAGGCTCCGTAATTAATTAAATAATAGCCATTACACAGTATTGTTGGAGCGCTGAGGGGGGGGGAAGGAACGCCACCCGTACCCTGCCTCTGCCGGGTGCCCAATTTTGGCGAGGCCGCAGGCTCTGCACGCTACTAGGCCTCGACACCCACCACGCCACTCTGAGGTAAATTCATCAAAGTTTTTCGTACTCTTCACTCCACCCCCACCACAATGTGTGCAATTAATATTACTTTTAAACCCAACGCGCCAACAATCGATTACTTAATTTTTCACTGTACAAATAGTCATTAAGCTGGGTCAGCGTACTGCCAGTCTATCATGTACACTCTAGCCTGCTTATGAAGCTGAGTGCGTGTACTGGCAGTCTATAATGTGGACTGTTGCCTGCTTATTATAATCGATTCTTTATATGTTCTTTGTACAAATAGTCATTAAGCTGGTTGAGCGCCCCCAGTTCGATTCCAACTCACGCCCACCACCGCTGACGATTATTTGAAACGGACCTGGGCCTCCCCTAGGTCGACTCAGCCTCAAACGCGTAACTTCTGTCGTGTGTGAACATCGTCACTGGGGAGACAAAGGCGGCCGGGCATCGTGGATCCAAGTCCCGGGCGAAGCCGGGTCATGTCTATGTGTGTATGTGTTTATGTGTATGTCTGTGTGTCTGTATGTATGTGTGTATGTATGCGTGTGCATGTGTTTGTGTGTATGTATGTGTGTGTCTATGTATGTGTGTGTATGTGTTTCTGTGTATGTATGTGTGTGTATGTATGTGTGTTATGTGTCTGTCTGTGTGTCTGCATGTATGTGTGTGTGTATTGTGTATGTGTTTGTATGTGTTTGTGTGTTTACGCTCGCATTACACAAATGTGTTGCAGGTCTAAGGCGTTCCTTGCGCAGCATTGCCGCTTTATTATTTCAGTCGTTTACTGCCGTATGCACCCTGAAAGTCGTGTGTGTCTGCAGCAAGCGCGTGTATGTGTACCTATGGACGCGCGCGCGTGTGTTGTGTAGGGGGAACGGTAGTGTAGTGCTTAGCGTGCTGCCTGTGTGTGTGTGTCTGTATGTGTGTGTCTGTGTGTGTGTCTGTGTGTGTGTCTGTGTGTGTGCGTGTGTGGTGTGTGGGGAGCGGTAGTGTAGTGCTTAGCGTGCTGTCTGTGTGTCTGTGTGTGTGTGTGTCTGTCTGTGTGTGTCTGCGTGTGTCTGTGTGTGTGTCTGTGTGTGTGTCTGTGCGTGTGTGGTGTGTGAGGATCGGTGGGTGTAGTGCTTAACGCTACGCTGTGCTACCAACCCGGCGAACCCAGTTCGATTCCCGCTCACGGCCACCACCGGTGACCATTATTTGAACCTCCCCTAGGTCGACTCTGCCTCAAACGAGTAACTGCTGTGGCGTATTAACATCGCCACTGGGGAGACAAAGGCGGCCGGCCGTGGTGGATACAAGTCCCGGGCGAAGCCGGGTAGTACAGCTAGTTTAATTATAAAACCTTAATATTATACATTCACTCACTCACATATATTTTACTTAAATCTATTTAATTATGAAAACTTAATATTATACAGTACATTCACTCTCTCTCTCTCTCTCATACGATACGTATTATGGTGTTCTACACTCACCAGTTAATTTCGAACACAACACTAAGATACGCAAGACACAGTTGACAGCGTGAACGAGAGTGGCGAGATACAACAAGGGAAGAAGCTGGGAGAGGATGCGATGATGCGCAGCCAATCAGCTCACGGGATACTGTACATCCACTCGTGCTCTCATTCGTCGATCTCGCGCCGGGAACCAATCACGTGCCTTGTCTGAGTGCCCGTGGGTACAGTATGTACAAAGCCTCTGAGAGAGTTTCTCTCTTTGTCTGGCATCCTGGGAAACCGTTTCCCTCGCGCATCACGATGAAACAACGCTGCTTTCCGCAATACGGCTGCCGATATGGCGGTATTTTTGAATTTGTATTTTTCGATGAATATTTTTGAAAAATCCGCGATGCACTGAGGCCGCGAAACTTGAACCGCGAAGTGGCGAGGGATTACTGTATTTTGATTTTGGCAAGGGAGGTCCCATGAGATGTTAAGATGTTCAAATGCAAAATTGATGTCTTTTGCAAGGAATAAAGTCTGCATTAACCACACAAAGTATTTGGTGTTCGAACATCTTAACACAACTCATGTTTTATTGCCAGAAATGGTAAAACCTATTATTACTATTATTTTCTCACACTTTTATATCGGCAAAAAAGGTACTATTTAGTTTTTACGCGCTGATGTTGATGTGATACAACCACTCTACCCCTGGGGCGCCTGCCCCCCGCCCACATGAGCGGGTCATGGTGCCGGTTTCAGCAAAGGGCCTCGCCCGGTGGTTTGTGGCTCCACAAACTGGACCCTGAGCCGCAGGCACGTGACCGAGTTCAACACGGCAACTCCCACCGGTGTCTCACAGCTTGATAACTGGAACGCGACTTTGAGACAGGAACAAATTATTTTCATCAAGTAGTTTAAAGTGTTAAACTTAAAGAGAAGCTGAAAGAAAGTTGAAAGACGCAGCACCGCGTGAGTGATTAAGGCGGGGTCGATCCACCCGCTCGCTGGCGTTCGCACGCCTTTACAAGGCACGCGGACATAGTAAAATAGCCTTAAAGGTGAGGCGTGTACCCAGGTTCCTGCCGCAGCCATCCCCTTTTTCGCGTAGCATAGTTACACAGCGGATTAGGGCTTAGTCACGGGGAGGGGCGCTTGCATATCCATAATGGCTATTTTCAGCGCGAGCCTTTGTGTGCAACAATCGCCAGCAGGGGCGCGCGCGTGCACGCAGCCACCTCTGCATTAGTGGTGGTGGTGTACGTGGGCGTGTGCGAGATAACCCCGGGCGGTGGTGAGCCAGCCGAGTAGCGATGTCCCTCAAAGAGGGCGTTGGCGCGGGGGGGCCGATCACTCGAATGGCGGGGGCGCCGTGAAAGGCGGCCGAAGTGGAGGAGGGGGAAGTGAAGGGGGTGGACGTCACGCCCCGCCCGCTCACGGGGAGCGGGGAGTTGGACGTCAGCCCCCACATTCCCCTGTCAGTTCAGTTGAGACGAGTTGAGGTGAGGTTAGTTGATGTGGTGAGTTTAGTTGAGGTGAGATGACGTGAGTTGAGGTGAGTTGACGTGAGTTGAGGTGCGTTTAGTTGAGGTGAGGTGAGTTGCGTTGAAGTGAGTTTAGGTGAGCTGAGGTGAGTTACGATGGGGTGAGGTGATTTGAGGTGAGGTGAGTTGAGGTGAGATGAGGTAAGGGGCCGTCCATAAATGACGTCACGCACCCAGGGGGGGGGGGGTGTCAGACATTTGTGATGATGCGTGACGAGGGGGGGGGGGTTGAGAAATGTGACATCAACTTAAAATAAATATAGAACTGTTATAACAACGCTAATTTTGATACATTTTCATTATTAACTATTTGATCATTTAAATTTACTAAGGTCACCTTTTATTTATCCCATGAAGGAGCATTTTGCTTCTCCATGGGAGAATGGGGAAAGCATACATTTTGAACATTTTTTTAATGATTGTGAGTTAACATTTTTATTCTAATCATTCTACCAGGGATTTTAATTCTATGAAATGAATATATGATTGTTATAATTGTACTCTCCATTTAGCTTCGTTCTTCTACAAAGTTTCAAGTATTTTTTATAGTTATAATTACTTTTAATGTTTTATAATTATAAGATAATTTAATATAATATTCTGAACATCTGCAGTTTTAGATAGACGTTGAATATTTTCAAGTGAATTTTATGCTAAATTTAAGCTTTCCAACGCCTCCTTTTTAAAACGTGTTTTCTCCTACAACATCAGAGTGCAGCGCCACATTAAATACGCACTACAATGACAATAATTTAAAGCGATTTGAAGCATGTTTTATTTTCAAAATGGAAAGATGGTTTTGGGGTGGGGGGGCAGAGCTTTGTGACCTCATATTTGAGAGGGGGTCTGACTTTTTGTGACGCCGTGTGACGAGGGGGGGGGGGTCCAATATCGTCCAAAATCGCGTGACGTCATTTATGGACGGCCCCTGAGGTGAGTTGCAATGAGGTGAGGTGAGTTACGATGGGGTGAGGTGAGTTAAGGTGAGGTGAGTGAGGATGAGAATTTGAGATGTGGTAATCCGAGTCGTCTTTTTTAAGCCACCCCTGGAGCGGAGACGTCTTTACTCGCTCACGCGTCAACACATTACAGGGCACGCCTCGTGATATGCAAATCAAACTGAAATACTTCCTGCTTCCTTGTCACCTATTTACGTGGCTTGTTCCTCGTTTAGCGTCTCAGACGCAGCCAGCGACACCCTGAGAAACAGACAGAGACTGCCTGAGCATACAGCCAGCGACTGCCTGAGATACAGACAGAGACTGACTGAGATACAGAGACTGTCTGAGCTACAGACACAGACTATCTGAGCTACATCAAGCGACTGCCTGAGCTCCATCAAGCGCCCGTCTCTGAGTGGAGCCACAGGGCCATGGCGAGTGCGGCTCCCAGTGGTAGCGAGGCCCCAGGGGAGTTGACCTGCCCCATCTGCCTGGACGCCTTCCGCTGCCCCTGCACGCTCAGCTGCGGCCACTCGTTCTGCCTCAAGTGCGTGGAGGGCTCCTGGGATTCGGCCAAGTCCTTCTCCTGTCCCCAGTGCCGAGTGACTTTCCCTCGGAGGCCCAAGCTGAGCAAGAACTTCACGCTCGCCAACCTGGTGGAGCAGCGCAGTGCCGCAGAGAAAATGGCCACCGTGGTCTTGTGTGACTTCTGCAACGATGGCACGACTGCTGCCTTGAAGACCTGCCTGAGGTGTGATATGTCCTACTGTGTGACTCATGTAAAGCCTCATCAGGAGAACTCGAAGTTCAAGGACCACATTCTGGTGGCTCCAGGCACGAATCCTGAAGAACGTAAATGCAAGAATCACAGAAAGAGGATCAAGTTTTACTGCCGAAAGGACGAGAGTTTGGTCTGCACAACCTGCACCATCGCAGGAGACCACAAGGGTCACGATGTGACTACGCTGGAGGATGAGCATAAGACACAGGAGGTGAGACGGTCTGCGAGTGTGAGCGGGAGCCCCTCCTGCTTGAAGTCATCATTTCCCAGCACGAACTAAACAATAACATCCAGCTAAATATCATTCCTCTATCAGCTGCCCATTGTTTCTTCACATTTTAACAGGCTTGTTTTACTTTAAAGTATGCTGAGGTTGCCATAGTGCAGAAAAAATACAACCACAAGTTATTATCAATCCTGTTGTTTGGCAAATTTATAAAAGTACTCTTAGCTTTTTTTTTTTAAACTGAAGAACTGTAATGCATACAATGTGTTCTTAAAATTACGTGATTGCATAGACTGTGGTTTGTATTCAAATAAGTGGTTTATGGTAGAGAAGAGCAGAAACTTTTTATATTTTTCCAAGTGAAGCTCACTGAGCTATGTAGCTCTTTTTCAGAGGCAACCTGGCCACAAATGGCAGCTCAACGAAGTGGCTTATCAGGTCTAAATATATAGCAGCCAATAACTCTAAATGCACCTTGCTAAACGTGGACAGAAAAACCGGAAGACTCGGAGAAAAATCCATGCGACCATGGAGATAGACATGCTAACTGCATATATACAGGTATCAATATCCGGTTAAAACCAACGACCTCCTGTATCGCAGGCAAGGCAGATAACATCTCGTCACTCCGGCACCCTGTCCACCCACTACTCAGCCCCGCCCACTACTCGGGTAGCCCCAACCACTGCTCAGGTAGCTCCACCCACTACTCAGCACCGCCCACTACTCAGGCAGCCCAACCCAACACTTGGTAAGCCCCGCCCACCACTTGGGTAACCGGTCATTACTCGGGCAGCCCCACCCACTACTCCAGCAGCCCCACCCACTTCTCAGGTAGCCCTTCCACATGCTCAAGTATCCCCACCCACTGCTTAGGTAGCTCCATCCACTACTCAGCACCGCACACTACTCACGCAGCCCCACCCACTACGCAGGTAGCCCCACCCAATACACAGGGAGCTCTGCCCACTGCTGAGGCAACTCCACCAACAACATAGGAAGCCCCCACCCCCCACTGCTCAGATAGCCCCACCCACTACTTAGGAAGCCCTGCGCACGTTTGAGCTCCTCGAAAAATAAGTTCCCTGCTGCGCTTGCTCACCCAGCCTCGATCGATTCACGGGGGCTACTGCCCCTGTCACTGTGGAGGGGTTCGCGTGGAGCGGGGGTGAGAGGGGACGCTCATGGAGTAAGTGGAGTCTCCCCTGTGATGTCTCTCACAGAAACAAGTGGGAGAGGAGACGCGGGCGGTGGAGGAGAAGAGGAGGGAGGCGGAAGAGTCCGTGAGGCAGATGGAGGCCGCTCGCAGGGACGTGCAGGTAACCGCGTGTGGACCGGACTCTGTGACCCCGTGACTCCATCCTGAGTAGGGTTTGTGATGGAGGATAACTCCATTCCTTCACGTGGACTTCCATTGGCTCCGAACACATCGTGGGACTCAAGACACAACGGTCAATGCACCTCAATTATCAGGACGAGCAAAGAGGTGGTTCTCATCTCCACTGAGAAACTCAATCATTGGTTGAATTTCCACATTCCCATATCTCCATACAACTTACCACTTCAACGTCTGTTATCTATATTGATCAGATGAGGTGCTACATACCTAGTATCCAATACTCTGGTGGCAGAGTTTTGTATGCAATGTTATTGAAACCAATCAGGCATTAGAGTGGCCAGGTACAAGTGTAGTGGATTCACGGAGAGTGGAGGCGACTTGTAGAGGCAACACGTTTATTACAACAACGGTAACAATAGCAGTCTCACACAAAGGGGCAGCGGCCCCTTACCATACTGCCTGGGGAGGTACGGCCTCCGGGCTCATGTGCCCTATCACTGGGGTACGGGCTCTGAGTCCTCCGGCTAAGATTGACCTCGGGGAGGCTATACTGACCCGACCCAGCCAAGGTACGGGTCCCGACCACTGGCCCACTGAGTCTCAGCCCTTACAAGGGCAGCGGGGATACGGGTCCCAGGGTCCTAGGCTAGCTGGTCTTCTGGCTTCGGTCTTCAGACTGGCCCCGGACCCGTCCAGAGGTCCGGCTTTTATACACCTCCCCAAGTTTGTCCGCCCCTGGCCACGCCTCCCTTCCAGAGAGTTCCAGGGGGGTATTGGGGGATCCTAGGAACACTCCGCAGCCCCCCCCCTGCTTTGGGGCTGGGGAATGTAGCGACCCTCATGCCGGTCCAAGTTACTGCCCCTGGTGGGCCCTGTCTGCTACTGCAGTTAAGTACACAGCCCATTTACAGCGCTACACAAGTATAGCAAGTGTTTTCATGATCCGTTCTCTTCATCCATACATGTCGTTTTCTCTCACATTCAAAACATTCACTTAAAGGGGAATTTGCCTAACTTCCCATTTCATTAGGGCTCTACTTGTTGTAGGCAAATTACAGATTTCCCTTCGCTTCATGTGAAGGTAAACAAAGCATTGTCCTGATAGCCTTGCGCAATGGGAATGGCACAGACGCAAAATGTACTCATGATGGTATTTGATTATTTCATTGCCTCACAGCCCCCGACAGTCATGGTGTATCGTGTGGAAGTGAAAATGCACAGTGGCGTGATCAGAGGCAGAGGAAGAAGGAGGCCTCAGTGCTGCAGACTCGTATCACTGTCTGGACACCTTGGAGTTGCACTCGGGTGACACCGACCTGAATGTCATTTCAAAAAGGACCAGACATTTAATGAACAGAAGTGGCATTTATTTCTCTTTTCAGGGAACCATGACAAACGACAAGGCCTCAATCTCGGGCAGATTCGTCCACGCGAGAGCAGCGTTGGATGCGAAGGAGAAGGCGGCTTTAAAGCAAGCAGAGCAGAAAGGGCGCAAGCAGCTGTCCCAGATCGAGGAGAAGATCGCTCGCGACCAGCGCGAGATCAGCGAGCTCCAGGCAGCAGCCACTCGCCTGAAGGCCCTAGCGCAGGAGAGGGACTCGCTCGCATTCCTGCAGGTGAGCGATGAGTCTCCAGTGTCGCTATTGGCCCAGAGCCCTCTCCCCAGCAGCAGCAGCAGAGGGAGGCTCCTGAATGAGAGTTCGCATCCACTGGGCTTGAGAACACAGCTCCACTCATGGATTCGCATCGCAGCTCCAGTAGCTGCCATGTGGAAGCCCAGCTCATATTTTCTCAGTTAAATGAAATCTCTCTACCGTCCTTTAACATATTCCCATTAAGTTTGTTTTATTGTGAATATAAACTAAATGTTATTGGATTTGCACATTTTAAATAAACCCTACAACAACAATGTGCACGGTATTCATGATTATCATCAGCCATGATATTTCCACTTATTGATGAAGGCATTCCCAAGCCATTGCCACATCTCATGGTGCTGCAATGCAACAATCCACCAGCGCCTGCTCACGAGCCAATGTTATCTCTGCTTCTTACTTTGTGGACCTCTTCTTGGATGCGCGACCTTCAGTGTTCATATTCGTGCGGCTAAAATAAATACGGTCTCATGCGCTTATTATTCATATCCTTGTGTGTTGACCACCACTTATGCAAGACCTGCACCATGTGCATTTGTAACACCAGAAATTACCAGTCCTAAGTAATTCTCAACACAGATCAATATCAACCAGTCTCACTCTGAAATATGTCTTGCAAATCAGTGTTGGTCCTCATGAGGGTGGCGAGATGTTAACTACCTCGCCTGGTATACCGGAGGTCGTGGATTTGATCCCAGACCTGACATCCCTAAATATTTTGAGATTTCAAGTCTTTCTCCATGATCGCATGGATTTTTCTCCGCGTCCTGCAGTATTTCCACGAGATGAACCACTTCGTTGAGCTATCATTTGTGGCCAGGTCGCTTCTGAAAAAGAGCTCTATCGCTCAGTGGGACTTACGTGGAAAGATTTCATTAGTTTATAGTTGACTGTTCACCGGTCTAACTCTGAAATATTTGCCCCGTAATTCAGTGTTGGTGATCATGGGGTCATAAGCCAAGACTTTGGCGTTTATATTCCACGGTGTTGCAGTGAGAACTCCACTGATCACAAGGGATTGGAGGTAGAGTCACAGTAACGCATCTCTATCTCTCCCACAGGGGCACCTGGAGCAGAAGCGCAGGAAAAAGACGACTTTCACTCACGACTCAACACACGTCATGGGACTGAGTATGGGGTGCGGGCAGTGAGACATTGGCTGTGTGATGATGCCGTGTGATGGTGATGCTGTGTGTTGATGATGTGTGTGATGATGCTGTGTGCGTTTATGCTGTGTGTTGATACTGTGTGGTAATAGTATTTCTGTGTGGTGATGCTGTAATTGTGAGATGAGTGATGATGCTTTGTTTGATGGGTGCCTGTGTGGAGCTGTGATGATCCCACGCGTTATGATGCTGTGATGCGTTTATGTGATGGAGCTGTGATGATCCTGTGAGTGACGATGCTCTATGTGAGACAGTGGCCATGTCTGCTCTGCTTTCACAGGACAGGGAGGGTTACAGCAGCTCCACCCTCAGCTCCCAGCCAAGTGGACATTGCCTCGCCTCAAGTCCTGGAGACACCTACAGTCAAACGCCTGTGTTAGTTATTCAGTGTGAATCATGGGTGATGTGGCCATCTTGACAGTAAAATGTGTGTGCACGAGTTCGACTCGGCCTCAAATATGTACCTGGTGTGTTATAGACATCACCATTAGGGAGACAAAGGCGGCCAGGCGTAGTGCTGGCCATCCACCCCCTCGTGTGTTGTGCCAGCCTTCAACGTTGCTGAATTTCCCCAACATTCTGTAAAGGCTACACGGGGGATGTCTTTGTTTACATCCTGGAAACTGATGCGGTGTGTAAACAAAATCGCCACTAGGGAGACAAAGGTGGTCGGGCTTGGTGCTGGCCATTCACCTCGTGTGCCATGCCAGCCTTCATAGACGCTCACGGACAGCACTTGTCCCATTCCAGAACAGGGGTAATTGTGATGTTGAGATGCAGTGTGTGCCTGTGAATGTGTCTGTGCATTTATGCATGGGGGGAGCGGTAGCATAATGGTTAGCACACTGCACTACGAACCCAGTTACCTGGGTTTAATTACCCGCCATGGCTAACTTAAGTGGCAGGTGATATCTTATCCAATCCTGGGCCTCTGCTAGGCAGTTTCAACCTCAAATGAGTTCCTGATGCTGGTAGTGATCATAATGATGGTGATAGTGGTCGTGATGATGGTGGGAATTATGCTGTTAGGGATAATGTGAGTGATGGGAATGGTAATGGGTTTGGTGATGGTGTTGGTCGTGGTGATGGTAATGATGTTGACATTGGTGATAATAAAGGTGGTGATGGTTTTTCTGATGGCGCTGATGGTCGTAGTGATATTGGTGATGGTGGTCATGGTAGTGATGGTGGTGATGATGGTTTTGATGGTCGTTGTAATGGTTATGATGCTTTTCGCGTTGGTGATGTTGGTGATAGTGATGAACATGGTGGTGATGGGGATAGTTGTGATGGTAGTGATGGTGGTGGTGATTGTTTGTGATGGTGCTAGTTGTGGTGATGGTTGTGATGTTGCTTATTGCGATAGTGATGTTGTTGATGTTCATAGTGTTGATGGTGGTGGTTATGGTGATGTTTATGTTGTCATTGATGATATTTATGGCGAGGATGCTTGTGATGTTATTGTTGATGGTGAATATGATGGTTGGTGATGGTAATGTTGAAGGTGGTGATGGTGGATAATGGTGATGACGGTGTTCTGTATTGGTATTGTCATCGCTGTTGTCACAGACGGGCGCTCACCGACTCTGGACACAAACTCAGCTTATAACAAACTCCAGATCTCCTCGGATCTCAGGACGATGACGATGACCGGTGCCTCCCAGGGTCGCCCCGATCACCCACACCGCTTTGATGACTATCCACAAGCCCTGTGCTGTGAGAGCTTCTCGTCGGGCCACCACTACTGGGAGGTGGACGTGGGGGACGCGCGGCATTGGCGAGTTGGAGTCGCGTACGGGACGACCCCACGGAAAGGGGATCGTGCTGCACAGCTGCTGGGAGGGAGCGACGCGTCCTGGTGTTTAGATAAATGTTGCGACAGCTTCTCAGTGGTTCATGGTGGAGTGAAGACTGCACTGTCGGTGAGGGGGGCCCCCTTCCTCCGCAGAATCGGGCTTCACCTGCACTGGGAGGGGGGGCTCCTGGCGTTTTACCACGCCGACTCCATGGAGGTGATCCACGAGGTTCGGCAGAGATTCTTGCAGCCTCTCTACCCTGGGATGTGGGTGAATAATTATAATCAACCATTGAAGATCGTGGATCTAAGTCGTGCATCCTGAGGATGATGAGAGATAGAAACCCAATAAATGGTGGAGAGGGGGATGGTGAGGAGAGAGCTAAGTGAGGGTGAGGGGAAGGTGGAACGGAGGGTGAGGTTAGGTTCAAGTTCATTTATTAGGTGTAGCCCTGTGAGCCATTTGGCTCTTGCATCGGGTGCAACCGCAACAAAAAAATGAACAAAAACATCTTAAAGTGACTATGTGACTGAGTGCAAACAGAAATCCGAGAAAAGACAGCAAACCATTGCAGAAAAAAATCACCGTACACCAACGCTGTGTGCAAAAATCCCAGTGGGATGCAAGTCAAACAACCAACAACAACCACAAGACAACTTAGATTAAGGCCATCAGTCTAACTCTGTACTACAACAACACAAACGTGGCCAAACCAATATACTTTTCGAAATCACCAAAATAAATCCATGAAAGCAATGAAACAGTGATCATAGGAACTGTGACGGAATTTTCACAATAAATGGCATAAACAACATGTAACCCAATAAACGGTGGAGAGGGGGGATGGTGAGGAGAGGGCGAAGTGAGGGTGAGGGGAAGGTGGAACGGAGGGTGAGGTTAGGTGAGGGTGAGGGGAGGGTGAGGTGAAAATTGAGGGAAGGGAGAGGTGAGCATGGAGGGGTAGGGTGAGGGGGGAGAGAGAGAGGTTCAGGTTGGCGGACATGAGAGGTGTCGCCGGTGCAGTTCAAATCGCAGGTTCGTGTGTCCGCTCCTTTGCCTGCAGTGAGCGCTCACGTCACCACGCCTCCTCATCCCTGCGATTCACCATCAGCACCATCGTCACCATCACCAACATCATCATCACCCCATCATCATCACTATCAACAACAACCGCCATTCGCCACTAAGTGGCGGTGACGTCACCACGACGCTTGTGCCAGGCCATGTGCACCTTGAAGCTACCACGTGAAGTGTCGAACGCCCGCTGGCAGGAGGTCTCGGCGCAGACCCAGATGCCACAGGTCGACTGACTGAGATGACTGGCTGATGCACCACCTGTGCCCGCTACTGTGCCAACTTGTTGTGCTTTAGCCACCCGGCGCTCCGCTTGTTGTTGTGAGCGTCACTCCTCCGCCCTCCGTTGTTGTTGGAGGGCGACTGCCTCCAACTGCCCAGTAGCGTCCTTCACGAGCCTCCTCCACAGAGGCCGATCTTGACACCGCTGGTTCCAGTCATCGGCAAGTCCACTCAGTTCCACATCCTCCTGTACCACATCACTCCATCTCTTTTCTAGCCCGTGCCGCACCCATTTAGCCCCCTCGATCCGGCCGAACAAAAGCTGTTTAAGCATGCGGTGGCTGGGCAGGCGGTCAACATGGCCCAGCCAACGCAGCCTTGCCTGCCGTAGGAGCTCAACGATGGGGCCTTGTCCAGATCTTTCAATGATTTGTGAGCTCCTCACACAATCCAGCCTGGTTAAACCCAGGATGGATCGTAGGCAGGCCAGCCTAAATATTAATCATTTACGAAGATGCTCCATTAGGGGGGTCCACGTTCCGCAAGCATAGAGAAGTGAGGGAATGACTGTGGCCGAGAAGACCTGAAGCTTCGTGCGGAGCGAGAGACGCCACCTTCGTTGGTCGTAATATGCATCATCAGGGAAATGTGAGCATGAGGAAGACGACGTTTTTGCCACCCAATGGTGTGCAATGTACTGCTTGTCTATGAAAAGACGCCGCATCTCATGATGCGTATGACAAAAAAAAATCCGCAGACTACCTGCTGGATCTCCTCTCTGTTTCAAAGAACAAATTTGACCTAAGGTCTTCGCTCATTTACCAGCTTCACATTCCCTATTGCCGTACAAATACTGGAGCAAGGGCCTTTGCTATTAAAGCCCCCAGGGTTTGGAATGCTATTTCCAATAAACTGCAACTTGAATCACTACCTATAAGATCTTCACTCAAAACTGATCTAGAGGAGTTGTACAACCCTAGCTGCCACTGCTATTCAGTGGCCTGAAATCAAATGTATCGCTCCGGATGACCGCTGCAAAGTAACATCTTGTGTTTTAAATATAGTGTGCTAATCTTTAAAGATGCATTGAAAATTGTTGATATTCCTACCGATACTCCTGTAATAAAGGACTCTTGCACTGGGTCTGTCTCCGTTGTCCTTTATTGGTTCGTACAACTTGCCCGCACGGCGTCTCGCTCAGAGTCTCCTCCGTCTCCCGATCGGCAGACCCACTGCTGCCGTCGCTCTTGCAGCCCTGTTGCTGGCTCACTATGCAGCCCCGCTGCTGGCTCGTTACACAGCCTCTCCGCTTCCCGACCTGCAACCCCACGGCTGCTCACTATGCAGCCCCGCTGCTGGTGCTCTGTCGCCTCCGTGCCCGGACACCGCTGGCCGATGGTGCCGAGTCCCAACCCTGTGGCGATCACGCCACTTTCCTTCTCCTGCCCCGCGTGGCCTCCTTCTGTCTCTATTCTCACACTCTCCCCCCTAGCCCTACCGGTTCCTGTCCTTAAAAGCTCTCTCTCTCTCTCCACGTGACCCTAACTCCTCCCACCTGTTACGTCACATCCCGCGAGCCCGTTTACGCTCGCATTTCACCACCCTCCCCCGTAGAGAAAATTCCAGCCGTCCTCGGCTGAAACAGAACAAGTAATGCGAGCGACCACCAACCATCAGCCGTGACCGGACAACGGAGAATACAACGATAATAACAATAACAACAAGAACAAGAACAACAATCAACGAAAAGACAGAGATTTGGAACGCGTGCGGGTCGCCGGCCCGTCCCGGACGAGCGGCGGCCCCCCTGCAGACCGAGAACGCGACGGGGTTTTAAGAGCGACAGGATCAAAACCGCCTGTCGCTATTGGAGGCCCGCCAACGCCAAGGTCCCGTTCCCCCAAAGGACCCGAGTCCGGGGTGTCCCGCAACCGTGTCTGTGGTGGGTTTGGAGGGGCGGCGGGGTCAGGTGTCCCCGCAGCCGTGGTAGGCCCACCCAGAGCAGAGTCCGCTGCCTCCGGCAGTGTCACGGCCAGTTCGTCTGTAGGAGGCACGACAGGCGCTCTTGCAGGGTCAACAGGCACAGGCAAAGGTGCGTTGGCAGCAACAGACACCGGCAAGGCAACATCAGGAGATGACGCATCCGTCCGTGGGGCCACGTATGGTTTCAACCGAGACGTATGGACGTACCAGCGCCGAGATCCGAACCGAATGCGCGCGGACTGCGGGTTAGGAACCTCAATGAGCCTAACAGGCCCCTGCCATGGTTTATACAATTTAGGGGAGGTTCCTGCTCGCACCTGCGGGCAATGCAGCCAAGCCATGTCCCCCACCTTCCAGGGGCATTTCCCCTTCGAGCGTTTAGCGCAACGTTCGTTTCGGGCCTGGGTTTTGGCAGTAGCCAATCGGGCCCCCTCCCGCGCCTCAGCGACGCGGCGAACGGCGTCCTGAATGTAGTCGGGGAGAGGCTTAGTAGGGCCTCTCACTCCCGTTCCCAACTGCACATCCATTGGCGGCACGTTTTCGCGACCGTACATGAGAATAAACGGAGAATATCCTGTGGACGCGTGAGGCGTCATCCGGTATGCCGAGAGTACCCCAGGGATGTGCAAATCCCAGTCAGCTTGCTTCTCATTAACCGTGTGAGATAGCATGGCTGACAGCGTCCGATTTAGCCGTTCCACCATGCCATCTGTCTGCGGGTCGTAGGGAGATGTCCGGATCTTTTTGGTCCCCAGAGCAGCGCACACCTCACCCAACAATTTAGAAGAAAAATTCCGGCCCTGATCCGTGAGCAGCCTCTCCGGCGCCCCTTTGTCCATGACATATCCAAATAGAAAGGCGTCCGTAATGGACGCCGCCGACTGGTCGGGCAGGGGCCAGGCCATCGGCCAGCGGGAGAGATACTCCACCCCAACTACCAACTATTTATTACCCCTAGCGGATGGCGGGAAGAGTCCCAAAATATCCAACGCCACCAACTCGTTAACTCGAGACACCTGTATAGACTGTACCGGCGGCACATATGGGTGTTTAGGCGGCTTCCGCCGGGCACACGAGGGACAGGCGCGAACGTGCCCGACGACATCCGTCGTCATGCCGTGCCAGGAGTAGTCTCGCTGCAACGTCAACAAGGTTTTCTGCACCCCCAGGTGTAATAGCGTGTCGCAATGCAGAGTCCTAATCAAATCGTACCGTAACGACGACGGTACAACAAGACGCCAGCGATCATGTATTCCCTCCCTCCACATCAGCAGTCCGTCGCGGAGAGCGGCCCCTGGCGTCCCTCCGGAAACCAGTCCCCCCCCTCCCTTTGCAGCCCGACTCCGCAGAGTCCCCAACGAGTCGTCAAGCATTTGTTCACGAATTCACACTGCTCGTGGAAGGTTCAGAACCCCATCGGCCGGTCCCGGGCACACTGGAGCCTCAGGCACCTCGACCGCTAACGCAATAGGCTGAGGGGGCTGCTGAGTCGGCGTACACCTATGCGTACCTGACGCGCAAGCGCAAGGGGATCCTTGCGGTAACCTGGAGAGCGCGTCCGCATTCGCGTGACGCGACCCCTTCCGATGCTGAATTTGGAAAGAAAACTCCTGCAGAGTGTCCAACCATCGTGCCAGCTGGCCAGATGGTTGGTCTACCCTCAGAGCATATTGTAAGGCAGCATGATCCGTGCGCAAAATAAACGAACGGCCGTAGAGATACGGCCGAAATTGGCGGAGAAAATAGACAATGGCCAAAAGTTCGCGGCGAGTGACGCAGTAGCGGGTTTCTGCGGGGGACAAGACGCGGCTACCGTACGCTACCATGCGTTCCACACCGCCTTTGGACTGCGACAGAATGGCCCCAATGCCCGTGTCACTCGCGTCCGTGTCCAGAATGAAAGGGTGATCGAAATCGGGATAGTCCAATGTTGGCGCCGTCGCCAAACGATCGCGCAGGCCCTTAAACGCCGCTTCCTCTGGCGGTCCCCAACTGAATTTCCGTCCTTTACCCGTAAGGAGGTGCAGAGGCCTAGCGATCGTTGC